TTATTTAACATGTTTTGAAATGTCCAATGACTTATTTGTTCCAAAAAAAAGTCTAAGGACTTAATCATTCCAAACAAGAAAGTCCATTGGTTTTTATTGTACTTTTTCCTAATAATAATTGTAGTAAGTTACAAATTTGGTCTCTATGGTTATATGAAAATTATAGATTGAATCCCTATAACCAAATAATTACTATAGTTATGATGCTTTCACTTTTGTCATGTATTAGGTCCCTTTTCTTAACTTTACTAACTTAAACTCTGTTGAGTCAACAGTGTTTTAGTAATTTGACAATTTTTTTTTCATTTTTCAGTTAAAAACTTAAATATTTTATGATTATTGTTATATATATCTATACTATTTTATTAAGCAAATTTAGTAAAATTCTTAAAGTCTTAAAATACTAAATGACCAAGATACCCTTTATACTACCCACTTTTTCACTTTTTCACCCCCTCATCTCCTCACATACATTCACCCCCTCACATACACTCACCCTCTCACAACCGATTTTTTTAAAATTATAATTTTAAATTTACACTTTATACCCCTATAATTAGTTAATTAATTTACTTTACGTCATTTACTTTTAAATGTTTCATTTTAAACTTTTATCAAATTAACATCATAATCGTATATCAATTAAAACATGTTTAAAAAAATACATTTTTATTTTAACAGGTTACACCATTATAATCGTCTCGTTAATACYTTCGAAATGAGTCCAATATTGAATAGTTTTTGACTTAATTATATTATTATATATTATGTATACTGTGAAAAAATATTTTTAATATTTACAATTTATACTTTTATAGTTATTTATTTATATATATACTATATATTTTGGGGTTAGGCTGTCCAAATTGCACTATATAATATGTTCTAAATTAATATGTTTTTGGGTTTTTTTGAAATATATATATACATGTATTAATTCAACCTTAATCTGAGTTTCTGGACAAGAAAGAAAGTAAGCAGTTGAAATTTCATTTTAAAACCCATCTTTTTTGGTCTTTTCATGGCTTATGATCTATCAAATTTGTAGTTTTCTTTATTGGTTTTGAGTGTTTATCTTAAAACTCAAGTTTCTTGGTTCTTTGCTCTTGGTGTAA